ACCTGGAGGGGGGGGGAGCCGGTCCCGGTTACCGGGCTATGGGCGAGCTGCTCAGGCGCTGCTCCGGACTGGGCACGAAGCCTTCCTGGCAGCACCGGTGGTGGCCCCTGCTTCCCTGTCACCTCCCGGTGCCTGGTGGGGTCTGGGCCCCCGGTAGCGCCCAGCGGGTGGTGCCCGCTGCAGCCCTGTTGCTTATGTGCCGCCCCCTCCTTACAGTGGCGCCCAAAGTGCAGGTGTACTCCCGCCACCCCGTTGAGTTCGGCAGCAGTAACATCCTCAACTGTTACGTGGAGGGCTTCCACCCTCCCAAGATCGACATCACCCTCCTCAAGAACGGTGAGCCCATGCCGGACGTGAAATACTCTGACATGTCCTTCAGCGACAACTGGACTTTCCAGCGCCTTGTGTATGCGCCGTTCACCCCCAGCAAGGACGACGACTACGCTTGCAGGGTGGAGCACGTCACCCTCGCGGAGCCGCAGACTTTCAGATGGGGTATTGTGGGCTTCTCTCTTGCTTGTGATAGAATTAATTAGTAATGGACAGCACAGATTTGCCTCAAGTTTTATTGAGGGTTCTGTAGGTATTTGGTTCCCTGACCTCCTAGGTGAAGTAACCTAAAAAAAAACAAATGCTTGGAGGTAATGCAGTGATTTTTGGCTTTGAAGGCAGGGGTAAGCAGACCAGCACTTAATGTTTAGATTCACACTTAATGAGATCACTTTTTTCTCAACACTTGCCTTGAGTTCTGAGCCATAAAATGGCTAGAGTTCCTCTTACTGTTGGCAGTTGCATGTGAGTGTGAAGTCCTGGTATGAGGGCTTCTGTTGGTGCAACTCCTCAGGCAAAACAGAATCTTGGCAGAGAACTCCTGCTTCAAGGAGTAAAGCGAAATGCTTGAGGCAGATCTAAAAGAGCACTGGGGAGTAGGAACTGATTTTGGTGACTGTCTGTTACAACAAGCACACTGCCTAGTAAGGGCAGCTCTCTGATTATTGCAGTGTGGGTGTTTTCCAGAACTGTGGATTTGTGGTGACTGCTGAGAGATGGGGTTGTGTGTGCTGTGAATGAAACCTAAGGCTCTGCCCTTCTTTCTTGCAGATCCAGAGTACTAAGCTGTACTTAGGATGACCATGGTAAGTTACATGGAGCCCTGCTGTTAAGGGGAGCATAGACTGCTGTCTTTGGGGGCAAGTCCCTAGCTTGCAGAGTGGAGGAACAAAAGCAATCACCGAAAAAACCCTCTACAGTGGTGCCAGTGATTGGGGAGTGCGGTGGTTATTTTAGCCAATATATGATAATATCTAGCCTACCAAGAATCTCCTTGGTTCAAAAGAAAGCAGCTCCCTGGGGCAAAACTTTTGTCTCCTCAGCATGTCTGCCACGTACCCTTCAGAGTTGCAGGTTCTGTAGTTTTTTTCTGGACCCCCTGGTGCTGTCTTTCGCCTGGTGGAGAGGAAGTTGTAATACCTAGGAAATCCCGTGCAGGCTTTGCTGTGTCTTGGGGGAAGGCAGGCACTGGTTAACCCTGTGCTACGCATGCGGAAGAGGGAAGTGTTGGCTTGGTAATGTGGGGTTTGAGAGGCACAAGCCAGTGTGTATCTTGCCAAACCAGAAGCAGTTTTGTCTTTATTCATTGATGTCTCTCAGTCTCTGAATGCTCCAGGTTCTTGAAACTGTCTAGGCACTTCTAAGCGTAACTGATCTAGATTTCACAATAAAGTAAATATCTAGCCTAACCCTTAATAGCAGAAACTACAGAAACTTGGCCTAGCTGAAATAGTACCAATGCTAGTTGAAATCCTTCAATTAGGGGTACCCCTATAGAGGCTGGATAACTGTTGACTGCATGAAGCACAAGCCTCTGTAAGATCTCAATATCCTCCAAGCTGGATGAGAAAACCTTAACAACGGGTTTTAGACTGAGACAGAATCATGACTCAAATGAACTTTGTAAACTGGAAAAAATAGTCTTGGCCTCCGACTTCTAAGAAAGATACAGCCAGATTAGAGTCCTTTAGTGGTCATTGCCTAAGGTAGCTCTTCCTCTAGTGCTCCTTCAGCCCTTCCTTGCTGCAGAACAGTGAAGGAGGGGTATTATCCTTCCAGGGATAAGAGAAAATGGAGATTAGTCGACCAGCTTTCTAGTGTGTGTGAGGGGGAAGCAATAGAAGAAGATATGCTCTTAATATGCAGCAGAAAACCTAAAGTTTGATAGTGAGACCTGGGAAAATGCTCAAGAAATCTACCAGAGCCCAAAGTAGTTGGATTAGAAGAGTATTTAAGAGGAATGCCACACGTGCTTAAGCATCTGCTTATAAGTGTTGCTGGAGACAATATACTGAGCTAAATGGACCTTTGGTCTGATACACGCAGGCATTTCTATATGCCAGAGCTCTGGAAAAGTTACATATGGCCTCCACGATGGAAACCTAACCCTAGAACTGGGTCGGGGTTGTGCTGTGCCCGTGCAGCAAGTGCCTAGTCTTGTCATCTTGCCTGGGCTTCAGGGGAAGAGGGCAATCTTCCCTGAGGAATGCGTCAGTACCAGTCGCCTGGTTAGGGTGCTGGTGATAACTGGGGGGCAGTGGTTTTGGTGGGATGTTTGCATGAAGATCATTGATGGCAAGGGACGGCAGACTTGCTTCAGGATGGGATTACTGGGCAGAGACAACACTGACTGTGTTAAGAGTTTGGGGTCAAGGATTTCTAGAGCTGGAAGCTGGGGTGGGAGAGTTAAGAGCATGCTAGAGAGTGAGAATATCATAGATGGCCTTTGGGGTGGAGAACGCTGGTCATGGTAATAGAGGATTATTTGCTGAAGAATGAAGCTCCCACAGAATAAGGGATAGAAAAGCAGATTTCTGCAGGGTGGGAAGGTGGGTCTGTGTGCCTGCAGCTGAGATTCTGGAGTCCAAGTTCACATGTGGAAACATGAAGTAGTCATTCTGTTCATATCTTCCATTGTAACTAACATGAGTAATCTCTTCTTCCCAATGCAGGTTTGAAGGCTTGCAAGCTGAATGATATTATGCTTCTGTCCTTTCTTCATGCCCCGCTTGCACTTGTAATGGAGAAGAGGAATCATCTTGATCTGATACAAAATTCCCTCTCTGTCGGATGCTATCTGCTAGGGTTAATTTCTAGCATTAACTCAGTGGATTATATTCCTTGCCTTGTTTGCTGTGGAATTAAAACGCTGAGGAATTGAAATTGGAGGAAAAGCATGCAGAGGGCTCTATGCCTTTAAGGCATATGGTGGATGATCTGCAAGTATCGATAGCAAGTAATGCTATTGAAGCTTCTCTGAACTGGCAGTTATGATGGAGATCCAAAGTGAATTGATTGGCCAGGAATCTGAATTTTGTAAAGAATTTGCCTATTAAGAAAGATACGTGATGTGATTCTGTACCGTTCAAACCTTTACAAACTCTGCTCTGCTGTAGCATCTGCTTGCCCTAATAGTTTTAGCTGCAGCCACAGCTGTCTGGGTCGGTAGGAGCGCTTTCAAGAACAACTATTAAAAGCTTTTCATTAAAACATAACCCTTTACTACAGGCAGTGTGCTAGCTAAGCATTCTTTAAGCATGTAACTATATATGTGATTAAAAGATAGTGTAACTTTGTTAATGGTCTGAATTGTACAGAATGGTTTATCTAAATATAATTGGAAAACTTCAATGAATCCTGTCTTTCTGAGTAGGAGGCACATGTTTCACTGGGGCCAGTGTGAAGAGCTGTGCTTGCGTTTATGTTCATCTCCACAGGGGCAGGAGTGCAAGGCTCCCCTTAGCTCTGTTTGCCTTTCCAGAGTGCTGCAGGCCTGTTTCTTCCTCCATTGTTATGTATCAAGTAAAGGAATCCTGATATCCCTGTTGTTTTCTACCAGATCTGTTTTGATTTCTCTTCATGTGGAGCAGGGTGTCCTCCCATCTGATTTCTCCTTCCTCCAAGGAGCTCAATGATGAGACTTGCCCTTAAGATGCTGCTTCAGTGTCATAAAATATCCGGACCCAAATGAATTCTCTGATTTCACAGGCTTGGATGGCCACTGGGTTGTGGGTGAATCGGGAGGGTGGTGGCACTGTGCTGAGTTGCACTTTTTCCACTAAGAAGATGCAGGAACATTTTTCTTTTGGAGAACAGCCACTTAGGTAGGCCTTAAAAAAAAAAAAAAAGAGTTAGATGCTTGACTATTTTATGAAAGATGTGCCTGGCCAGAAAACTAACCTGCCTCACTAGGCTTCTGTGTTGCTCTGAAGGGAAAACACAGGATTTAAAAAGGGACAAAGTAACCTTGGAGACATTAGGTCTGTTCTTAAACTTGGCGGAGAGTGAGGATAGAAGTGGATGGGCAGGATGTGCTGTTTTCTGCCTTGAAGTGGACACCCTAATGGGCAGTGTGGATGTGTGGAATAAAGCTGGGCTGAAGGGAAGTGGGTGTAGGCTGCTTTCACTTCCCAGCTTCTCTTCTGCGAGTGACTCAAACCAACAACGAGGAAACCTCGTTTAGGATCTGGTCTTGTGTCACACCTCAGGTTGAACAAGAGTTTGATGGAAGCACCCTGAAATGGTAGAGCTACAGAAGCTACTTAGCAGACCACTGTAGCCTGTGTAGCTGTGATCAGTCTTTCTGCTTTTATTTTATGGAGAGGTCAGTACAATTGCTTGATGATTGTACCATTCAATCAGAGAGGCTTGAATTTCTGCAGATCTCGCGTATGTGAACAAGGATTCCTGGCAAGTGTTTCCAACCTGGAGGATCTAGCATACTTATTTTGGGGGATATATTATGATTTACTGTGACCTGGAGCTGTCAAGACAGAACATTCACTCTCAAATCATGTGATCTTGGCTTGCTGTCGTAGCCTCTTCTATTATAATCACTTTCTTTGCAAGAAAGGAAAAAAATTGTCCTACACAAACTTTTGTCTTACATATGCTTTGCTTGAAAATACGTTTTATGCAAAACCAAGTTGTTTACTGCAAGTGACGGTCTCTCTTAGCCTCTGATTAATATCATCTGAAAGCACTGGGTTAAAAGTGCTCTTTATATCCCAGTTGCCCTTGCTCTGTGAGACAGGAATTTGTCTCTAGAAATGAGAAATCCAATTTAATCTTGCTCTTTTGGACTGCTTGACAGGGATCGAGCGCAGCGATTTATGTTATTGGTCTCCCATTGGATTCCTTGGTTCTCCAGCAGTACTTGAAGGGTAGCGGGTGGGATGCAGGCGCCACGGGAGACCACTGTGTCCTCACACCAGCTTTTCTGCTGAATGTCGAAGCAAACATGCCTGCGATGCCTCTCCTGGGATGAGGGCCGGAAAATGAGCTGGTTGCTCCATGGGGTCCCACAAGGGTCGACGGGACATCGTTCCTCACCCAGCTTTGGAGCTCCCACTGAGGGCCGGCTCGTTTTGGCCACCCCCTTCCGGAACCTTCCCCCAGCCCAACAGCCACCCAGGTGGATGTACAGCCAGCCAGCCAAGGTCAGCCCCAGGCAGGGGGGGGTGGCACGAGCCCACCTTGGCCAATGGGGCAGGGGTCCCCGGGGGTCCTGGGGCTTCCATGGGTGGTGGGCTGGGAGCTGCCTCTCTGCAGGGGCTCGAATCTGAAGCAGCCTTGCCCCTCGTTTCACCTAGTTTTAGCCAGAACTGGGCCAGGTTCTCGCTCCAGTCACCTTTTTCTGGCAGGACATGTTTTTCAGTTAGATCTAAGCTGGTTTCTCCCAACACGATGTCACCCAGCAAAGCTGTCACCTTTTTTCTTGCTGACGTCCGTATGCGAGACTGAAAGCTCGTCTGACCTAACTCCAGAGTTACCGGGTGATCTTTTGGGCAAGGACTTGTCCTGTACTAGCCGCCTGAAGCGGTTTAAAGAGCCGGTGATTTTGCCCTGTGGCCACAACTTCTGCAAGCTGAGTATTAAAAATATCTGGGTGAAGACGGCGGTTTGTGCTCGCCCAGAATGTCAGGCTGAGGTCCCAAATGGGCAATATATAGAAAAAACACAGTACTGGGAAAGGCAGTGGAGAGGCTGAAGGACTTCAGGTGGAGCAGGGCGAGCAGAAGTGCAGCGAACGCGACAAACCCCTCACGTTCTTCCGGAAACCAGACAGGGAACTGGCTTGCTTCCTCTGCAGAGTCACAGGCGTCCGAGGAACAAATCTCCCAGTTTCTACTCATACCTGATGCCACGCAGCACTACGTGGTAGGTATTGGGCGAATGCGGCAAGACACTGTTGGCTATTTGTGCGTGTGCCAGAGACCTTGCTGCTAAGCTACTAGGAGACTGACAAGGAACCGTGGTTTTGCTGACAACTGAATTTGGATGCAGGCAGTCCTCTGCACTGAAAAAGCCTATAGCTTCTTGAATTTATCCTACCAAGGCATTGCAAAGCTTGACCAGCGATGCCAGCCATGCTTCAGCACCCAGCTCAGGCCTGCCCCAGCCCTGCGCAACGATCCTGCAGGAGTTCTGTGGGACGAGATGGTCTGGGAGGGAAGAAAAGCTCTTTTCTAAGCGATTTCAAGCAAAAGCAGCAGGTCTGTGGCTGGGTAGATGGGTCTGTTTGTTTATTGGTGCGTGCCCAAGCTGAGAGCTTTTGCCAAAGTACTACTTTATGCTGAAAGTATAAAGTGCCGTGAAAGCCGATGCTGAGGGACTACCCTCTCCCCCACGCCTCAGGCTCCCTGGCATGCCTTGCGGTGTGGCTAACTGCTCATAGCAGGCAGATCAGTTGCAGCCTTCTAGGCATTTGTGACAGCACACTCAGGGCCACTGTAGGGCCAGGAAAGGGGAATGCATGCACATCCATCACGTAAGCTCATCCTCCTCCAGGGATTTCTTTTCTTACATATTTTAAGTCAAGAGAAAGGATTTGTCCTGATTTCTCTGGGGGGGGGGAGGGAGGGAACTGAAGAGCATCACAGGGTAATGGCCATGTGTATCACACCAACAGGAAAACCTGATCCTAATTAGGACTCTAGTGAAGTCCGCTATGCAGAAACTAAGATCCTGTGGCACAGGCAAAAAGAGCAGATTGTGTCCCACCAGGTGAGTCGCATTCATTCAGCAGACAGCGCTCTGACAGAAACTGCTGGTTCTCCTCCGGAGTGATGTGTCTACTCTGTGGAGGAGGCCCTACAGGTGTCTGACCACATCTGTGGCATAGATCAGCCATCATAACGTACATCACCATCTTCCCGCAGCAGGGAAGATTGGCCCTTATTGCACTTGCAGGCTCATTGTGGTAGTGCTTAGGAAGGATTTTTGACAACTCACTCAAAAATCCCCCATTTGGGGGAGTACCAAGCATGTAAATCCTAGAGGGCTAGTCAGTTTTGATTAACATCACAATTTCAGGACCACATCTAGCACAACGTTCTCTGTTTTATCAGGCATTGGTCGTATTTGTGTTTTGTGCAGCACCCTGTGCCTCCCTGCCCAAGTGGTCCTGTCAAGGGCCAGGACAGAATTTGGAGCACTTCATCAGCCTGGGGTGATTTTTCCTTCTTCCTCAGAACTATCAGGCATTGGCCAAGGCTGGAGACGAATATCCGGCTGACAGGAAGAGTGGTCCATTTTTGTACAAAGGTTCTCCAGTCTTTCCAGGGGATAGAGTTGTTGTAGGATATCCAGGTAAGTATAAAGCATGAAACAAGTCTCATTTGTGGTTTATGAATTACAAGCAATTTTGCTGAAAGCAAAGCAATTCCCAGGTTAACAAAGAATCCGTGTTTTTAGGAGAACAGGTTACTACTTCAGCATCACATCTTTCTGGAGTTTTTAAAGCTTCACCGGTTCCTTCATGCCAAAGCGAAACGATTAATGAATGAGCTGCAAGAGGAGAGGAAAAAAAAATCTTTCTTCAAGACATGCAGCTGAATATTGGTGTCCTTCAAGAAAAGTGGAACCAAGCGAAAGAGATACTGATACACATTCAGTCCCGGCTCTATCATCATAACTCCATCAGCTTCCTACCAGTGAGAAAGTGAGGTTTAGACAAAAAGCTAAAAGAGAGGGTGGGTTAGCAAAGAGAGAACCTGGGGAATATGAGACTTTCTTGGAAAGGAGGGAGGGAGAACAAGAAAGGAGGCTCCACGGCATGTTTAGTAATTATTTATTTGTCACTTTACAATTCTGTATGGATAAACTCTGAACAGCTGGCATCCCTAATGTTTGTGTTACAGCTTTCACTGTTAGCATGACGGAGCTTTGCAGCTACTGGGGTGGTAGTCAAGAAATCAAGGAGGCTGTTTGTGGCCGGCTGGGTGGGCAAAGCGGGAGTTGTGCTTGGAGGGTCCCGACCGCCCTTCCCTTTTCTGGGCTGACAGGGATGTGCTCTAGTGCAGCGGGTCGGCCTGGGAGTTGGCAGGGTCCCATCTCGCGCAGCCGGGCTGGGGAACTAGTAGGAAAGTGCCTCGGAGAGGGGGGAAAGGGGTGATCAGAGGCCCGGGGAGCCCCTCGGCCAAGCAGGGGGGCGGCGCTG